CACTACTACATATACCACATTTAGTAACATTTATGTGCCAACATGTAACAAAATGTTACTAATTTCTCTTAATTATATATTTTTGTAACATTTTTAACAATAAATGTTACCAATTCATTTGAATTATATTCTTTAGTAACATTTTTAATCATAAATGTTATTATTTTATTTACATTATATATTTTTTCTTGACTTTCTAAAACTAAATATTATTAATTTATCCAATATTTTAAATATTTTTAATAATAGACTTTACTATTATTTACTTAATTACTAATTTTACATAATAATTATTGTTTTTACTTAAAATCTATTTTATTATTCTTAAATAAAAAACTTGATAAAAACGTTATATGCTGCGTTTCTCCACCAAAATAGGAAAAAGAGTACAGAGTTCTTCCCTGTTTCTCTTATCTAAGCTATGGCCACGTTCTATTTCGGTGAGTTCTTTTTAGTCAATAGCAATGGCAACGTTCCATTTTTGTGATTGTTCTTTTCATCTCTCATTCTACTCTCTTATTCTTCACGATCGGAAGCCACACACACTCGCATTGTGACCTAGTTTTCGAAGCATTCAAGTAAGTTTCACGATTTTTAATTTTTCTCAACATTTTCATTAATCTAATCTTTGATTGAATGCTTTAATTGAATCTTTTATGATTCAGTCTTCGATCTTTCTCAAGCCGAGAAGGAGACACCAAAGCATCCAAGATGCAAAAAGAAAAAGGGGCATTTCCTCTGACAGGGTTTAGTCATTTGCTAATTACATTGACAGTTCAATTTCCATCACTTAGTTCCAAGATATTTTTACTATTTTAGAGTGGAAAATTAGCCTCAGTTAAAATGTTTTCATTCAATAATTTTCATAGATCTGCTTATTAAAGAATTTATTGAGACTAGAGATGAAAGTATGACATTTAAGCAAGACATTACTGGAAAATAGGATTTTTTATATTAGGAAATGCAAGATATAATTATTTATGTCTGTGAGTGAATAATTCTAGTTCTATTTTCTTCATTTAACAATTTTCAGGGGTTTTTACATTTTTATGTCAATATCACTATTTATTATAGCACAATAAAACTATATATAGTTTGAGATTGACCATTGACCACATACAAGTACAAGGTGTATGGAAAGAAATTCTAGATTGAATGGTGATTTATTCATTTTTTTTACTGTAACAAGAGTAAGTAGAAACACCAAAACATCATCTAAAATTTGGTAAACATGTGTTAGAGTTATGCACAGAACTGGAAAATGAGGAAATTCTCTTATGCCTCCTCCATTTTCATTCAGGTAAATGGTCATTTGAGAACAATGTCTCAGTACAATTCAAACTACTAAACTGTGTTATTTCATTCTTCCGAGCTCAAATCTTGTTGATTGGACTGATCATGGATGTGCTATATTTGGAATTTGGATATGGACATACGTAGATCCTAAAAATAAATAGTAGTTTTTTTGCTTTAATTTTTAAATGACAAAAGCTCAAAAGATAGTATTTTTTTTTTTTTTAATGAACAAAAGGCCAAAAAATAGAGCTTCTATAGAAGCTAATTGGAGGAGTTTTTACTTTAATGAGAAGAGAAGCCCAAGAAAAGCTAAGCTAGGTCAAACATTGAGCTACATTTAAATACTTCTTATTGGGCAACAGCCAATTGGAGAGGAGGCGGGAGGGACATCATTTTGCAAAACGGTTTACAAACTCCAGGATGACGATTATGTGTAAGAAATAATGGCTGGTAGTTACTTCTGTATTAGAAACTGCAGGATGACAGTTATGTGTAGATGCTAACTGCTGGTAGTTATTTATTAGGATTTAGGAGTATATATCTGATAGGAGGTTGTGTGATTATGCTGTGTGAAGTTATTTGTAGTTTGTGAACAGAAATACTGTCTGTAGGAGACTTTTGTCTCCGAGACGGCAAGTGTACTGCTATATTATGTGTGATTTCAGAGTTCAATATTATATTTTATTACTTTATCAATTGCTGTTCTATCAGAGTGGAAGTTAGGGGTGCTTGTCAGTGACTCGGGAACCTTCATAGCAAATCAGATTGTCAGAGCCCATCATTAGTCATGCTCCGACAATTGAAAATGCTGTTGACATTTAATATCTGCTTGCTTGCATATAGTACATAATTTACAATGATATTATTTGATCATTTATATGACCCCAATTAGCAGGAAATTGGCTTGATTGTGATTATTGTTCCATTGTACTTGTAGTACAAACTTTGAATTTCCCTTGCTGTAATGCAAGTTGTATTTTATGCATCCAATTTGTAAATATTAACTTGCTTCCAAATATTCTATTCTCTGTGCAGGAAGTGAGATATCATTCTTTAAAAATGGCATATGCCAAGGTGTAGCTTTCAAGGATCTTCAAGGTGGCCGTTACTATCCTGCTGCTTCAATGTTTACTCTTCCCAATGAACCAAACTGCACAGTCAAGTTCAACTTTGGTCCTGACTTTGAATGCTTTCCTGAGGATTTCAATGAACGGCCTATTCCCAGGCCAATGATTGAAGTTCCTTATCATGGTTTTGACAATCGAGTTGAAATTGGAGAGGCTAATGAGAAGAAATCCTAGAAAGAGTGATGAGGGTTGCATTTATTGTTAAGTTCATATGCACAGATGGATGGCTTCATATTCTACTTCAATGTTTAGTTGGTAGTAAAATTGATTCACAAACATTTAGATTAGTGGTGTAAACTTCTGAAAGAGAGAAATTGGCTACGTGAAATACATAAAAAAATTTCATGTGTTCAATCATATGTATTGTAGTTTCTTCCTTTGGTGTTGTCTTAATATTGTTCTATTGGAGATACGTAATGTCAGTATCATCCGCAAATCCTTTGTCTGGTCACTTCCCCCCAAAGGAAATAACAACGAGCAAGCCTATGCTCACGTGGTAATCTAATGATATCCCTCTTGTAAGGTATCAAGGCTAGGGTTGGTTTAGTGTTAATAGTGCCTATTGTAAAATGCATAACGGGAACTCTGACTACCCGGATCCTATTGGGAAAAATCTCAAAAATTGAAGCTCCTTAACGCTGAGGTTTTGTTTGGTTGGCCCATGTTGGCTGACTAAACACCAAAGTGAGAAGAAGAGCTATAAGTGGAATGGAAGTAACTCAACATCTGCTACTGTGGAAACCTTGATTCCATTATTCATGTGCTTTTCGTGCTGTGTCCAATGGGCAATAGTCTGGAATAGGGAGTAGGCGAAGACCAATTTCAGTAGCCATCACTATCCTGTGCTAACAGTAAACAGTGAACTGGCAAGTAGAAATAACTTCTACAGAACGTTATGGGACACTACTAGCCACAACTTTTTTTTTATTTTTTATTCTTTTCTTTAATTTATCTGTTCCTATTGAGATTCGGCCTTTGGTACCCTTGACTACGTTGTATACCTGACCTGAAACCATAATACTACGTGTTCCCGTTCTTATGTTTATAATGTCAAAACAAAGTATTCCCCAATATACAATAATGTTCGGGGTATGATGTGATTCTTGTGTTTGTATCAGCAATGATGGTTCTAATGAATAGGGGAGTTGAGACCCTCTTGAGAAGACAAGGGATGTGGTGTTTTGATTAGTTGTTTAAGCATGGTAGTGATTTTATAGTATGAGATGAGAGGTTGATCTTTTGAGAGGTTATATAGGCATGTGTGTGCATGAAATTAGTGAATGATGCATTGTACACCATTATACTGAACTGGTACTAAGAGGGAAGAAGACTGATCACCTTCCTTCTCATCTTGGTTAAGTGAAGTATTATGGCATGCAACTCATTATTCCAAGCATATTTGAAAGTGATGTTTGTTTGTGTGTTAATACATGTCGCATTTCATATGGTGGTGAGTTGTGCGTATTGCATGGAAAAGGCTCAGTACGGCCGTACTGAACCTCTGGGAGGGCGTATTGAGCTCCAATCCTCGCACACCCTTATTCTAAGCTACTCTAAGACTTCTAGACCTACAAAGAATCATCCTAGGGTCTTCCAGGAGTCCTTTCGGCTGACTTTCCTTCGGTCTTCGGGAGTCTTTGAGTCTTATTTCCGACCCGGACAATTTTAGGGGTCTACAAACATACTCACGCCCGGCGCACTAATATTCCGCCCAGCGCAAAACTCAAACAGAGACCTCGGTTTTTAAATTGCGCCCGGCGCTACTAGACTCGAGCCCGGCGTGATTTGGCAATGATGGTCTCTGATGAATTCAAGCCCGGCACGAAGAACTGCGCCCGGCGCAATCGCTACCAGAAACCCTCGAAAACCTAAAAAATTCCTTCCAATCATGAATCCAATCCAAATTACATGATTTTGAACCATTATAAAGCATAAACAACATCCAAAAACAACATTTTAAGCAATAAAATCAAGTATTAACCATTATACCATGGAAATCATGAAGACCCTAACCAAAACCCTTTCCCCTCAATTCAACCTCAATCATGCGTAAAACATGAAATGTATTTTCACAAAATTTTGCGTCCACGTGGTATCCACGTATGCATCTACGTGGCATCCACGTGGCCAACCGTTAACTCCGTTTAAATAATTTGGACGGAAGTCCCAAATTAAAACTAATTAACTTATGAGAAACCAAATTGAGACAAAAAATAAAAATGAGATTAAATTAAAACAAACAATTATTATAAGGGACCAAAATAAGTATTTAGCCTATATATATAATCAAAGTGTTGTCATAGAGTTTCAGGGTGTTGATCACAACGTTCATTTACAAGAGAAGTATTGAACATTCCATGTTTCTTTAATTATCTTTAGAAACCATTACTAGGGATGATAGTACAAAAATGTTATCATGTTTCCCAAGTTCAATTGGTAAAATTTCCCTTACCTTTTCCACCTATGCTCAAAATTATGCACAACATCCCAAGAAATTGCTCATTCTAAGAAACAATGTGTATCATGTCAATGCTCTCTTGGTCCTCCTTTGGTTGATGAAAATTTGAAAATCATCATGGTTATCACTTGTTTCCATCACACTAATTGGTGGCTATAATGTTACAACCTAATGCATGTCATGTCACTATTTATTCATTGGTTAAACATTTAAAAAATATATATATATATCTAAACACATTGAATTTGTCATATAAAAAGAACTTTCCAAGACTATTTTATAATTCAATTGATATTGGTTTAGTTTTAATATATATATCATACATTATCTATCATTTCAACACACATTAGACATTACTTAATATTTAATAATACATGTTAGCACTTAAAGACATTATCAATCAACACCCATTTTAAGACTAGTATTAAAGTGATAATAATTTTCAAAGATTTTTTTTATATATATAATTTACCTCCATTCAAGAATCTAAGTGAAAACTTGTTAAAAATTTAATGAATCTAATCATGATGTCATTGTCAGTATTTATCATGTTACCAACTAATATATGTTTTAAGACTAATGTAGAAGATCATAATATTTTTTTAGAACTTTTATAATTTACCGCAAGTGAAATTAATCTCTAGTTCAACAATAAGAGAAAAATACTAAAGAATAATAAAATAAATACTCTTATACTTATAAGTAGATACAACCTAACATACAAAAAGAAGATAAAACTTATTTTTTTATAAAATGGTATAATTATTATAATTTTATAATTCTTAATACATTTTAATTAATAAAATAAAACATGAGAACAGTTTGTTTGAGAGTGTATTATTTTCGCTCTCATTCCAGAATGCAGACATATTTATTTGCTGATGTAGTTTGTCGAAGACATTTTCTTGTAATATGAACTAGCTTCTTGTAGTTTTTCCATTTCACTCTGATGAATAATGTTAAAAATATTTCGTATTGATAAATTAAAGTAGTATCAAGAAGATGACGTAACATGAATCATGATCCACCAAAAGAGAATGTGACCGAGCGACAGACATTGAATTTGGTTTGCCGCCACGCCAAACCAAGCACATGCAACCATATTTTCTTTGTTACCATTTCATTTTGCACCTCTTCCCAAAATGCCAATTACACTCTTTGACCCAACACACTGTGTCCCCTTTATGAAATACCAAAGGGGCACCACTGTCAACATAATTTGCCAAAAAACATTATCATTGTCACACGACCTATGAACTATCTTCTTATCAAAACGCCTCTTATTATCTTATCATCATCATATGCACAGTGATTAATTATTAATTTCCTGGGATTGCGGTCTATGTTTGTCAAATAGTAACTGGTAAGATTCACAAGACATCCTTACCCTTTATTCATATTTAACACAGTGCAAGAGGTTGTCACTTTCTGGAGTTATTGGACTTCACTCGGTCCCACATGCTGATTGCTGAGTGAGACACAAATAAAGATAAATAATAATAGTAATAATAATAAAAAGAGAAAAGAGAACATTCAGCATATGATAATGATGGTGTTTGATCAAAGGACATAACTTTTTTTTAGTAGAGTAGAGACATGCACAGAAGTGTATCTGCTTCTTGTTTCTTCTTTTCCCTCCTTTTCGTGTGTGAGAGAGTTCAGTGCCTCTCTCTGTTAACCTTCTAAGTTCTAACTTCACTTCATGTCACCATTTATCATGTTCCAATTCTTCTTCTTCTTCTTCACCCTCCCTCCCTTTTTTGTTTCGGAATTCTGAAAGGATTTCTCTTTTCTTGGATTATACTCTTGGAGAATTTTTGTTCAAGTTTGGAGACAATGATTGTGTGTTGACTGTCTTCCTTGGGTTTTTCTTTTCTTCACTTCACTACTTCAGTATGGCCCTTTCCTTTTACTACTTTTCATTTCATTTTATTTTTTCAATTTTCTACTGTTATGGTTATGGTTTGGTTTTAAAGTGAACTTTAGTATTGTTTTTAGAATATTATACTTAACATTCACGCAGCAATTACCATTTACTCAAAATCTGGGTGTTATTGAGATTTTACCTTTTCCTTTTGCAATTTGTTGGACTTGGGCTACAGATCATACAGGATTTTTTTGGGGGCTCGATGGGGTGTTGGGAAAAAAAATTGTTACTTTCTAGTTTTCTTAGGATGCAGTTTCTAACTTTTGAGATCGCTGGTGGGACGCTTCCTTCCTTTACAATAATAATTGTTTACAATTAGCATTGCAGAATTTGAAGGTTTAGAAAGTTGTAGATGTTTGTTATACAGTGTAGGTGCCATTTCTTTCACGCAATTAGTAATTTGTTCTTTCAAATATTACCACATTCTGCTTCAATTGTGAATTGTGTTTTCATCTGTTTATCTCGCGTGTTAGGAGCTGAACCATTAATATTGAATATAGTGTGACCATTAAAATCTTTGTAATAATATTATGGTATTTCTGTGCTGATTGGGAAGCTGAGCTTACTAATAATTATACGCAGATTAGTTGTCAAATGCAGTTGGATTATTGGATATCTCTCTTGCAAAGTAACTATTTTTATAGTTTCTTCTAATTTTTATTTTAATAGTATTGCAGGGCTCTAGTGTGTGGATGGGGCAAGAATTGGAGTTGGATCTGAATGACAAGTCTTTCGTGGGTCTAAGTCCAGATACTGTTCTTCCATCTCATCAATATTGTTTGAATGTGAAGAAAAGATATAAAAATGGAAAGCCCACTGGGAAAGATGATTTTTTGAAACTGAAAGAGAATTTTGGTGATATCAAATTTGATAGATTGCTCAATTCTTCACGGAACATCCTTCCCTGTAGATCTCATGGACTGGAAGGTAATGTAGAAATGAAACGAGGTTCCATGTATCAGAGGTCAGAGCAAGTAACAAATATAAAGAAAATGGGCACCATGAGGGGAAGGAAAAAAATAGAAATTTCATCTAGGAGTAGTAGTGATGCCTCTTTTTCAGGTAGTGTTGTTGATTCTCTATGTTGTTCAGATGATGAAAGTCTGGATGAGAGACCTTCAGTAATACCTCAGGACTCAAATTTAGGTTCATCTCCATCTGTTTCTGGTTCCTGGATTTGTATGGAGCATGACAATTCCAATGGCTATATTGAATTTTGCATTAATTCAGATGTTTCGGATGAAAAAGATGGTGCAGTAAAAGGGTTTGGTTCTATAAATACTGAGATCAGAAATGACAAGGTTGCTGGTTCACTAATTGATGGTAATTGTCTTCTTCAGAAAGACACAGTTCATGGATTACAAAAATCACTCTCTGCTATGGTTGGAATCTCTCACCTAGAATCCCCATCAGAGAGTGACTGCTCACCAAGATCAAGTCCAAGAGTCTCACTCACCTCTATCAGGAAAAGGTTAAATCCATTCACAAACTCAAAATATTTAACAAGTCCTGTGAGTTGTGTGCTGGAAACTACTGAGGTCAAATTAACTGGGACTAGAAATGGCACAAGAAACAGGACTTATCAGAGATCTTTGCTGAATGACTTCTCTAACACGGGGAAGCATTCCGAAATTATTTCTAAGTTTATAAATAGAGATATCCAGTTTTCAGGTCTAGCATGTTCACCTGTTCATCTTCATGCCAACCTCAAGTTGAAAAAGCAACAAGGACAGCAATTTTTTGAGTTTAAGGTAAAGTGTCCTGAAGATGTCTTTGTCGCAAAGACATGGAAATCAGGCAATGCTTTCAACTGGATGTATACCTTTCACTCAATGGATAGCAGGAACAAAAGTACTGCCACTGGCTTGGGATCACATTATAGTGACAAAGACTCATCAATGGTAGCACAGATGCTAGTTTCCTCTAATTTTTGTTCCAAATTAGAAGATGGAGTGTTTGTCAACTCTATGGTGACAACATTTGTGTTGCATGATCTTACACACTCAAGAAAAAGTGTTTCACCCGAAAAAAGGTCTTGCAACGAGCACAATTGCTCTAAAACTCTAAATTCTTCCCGTGTAGGAATGAAGGGAGAAACTTTCAGGCCAGATGAAGAGTCTTTGGCATCTAAAAACAAGCTTCCATCAGGCAATACAGATTTTGATAATTCAAATTCTTATCCTTTTTCATCCACAGAATTGCATTCAAACCCTGAAATTGCTGCCATTGTTTTACAAATTCCATTTCACAAGAGAGAGAGCTTGAAATACGAAAGAAGGGGCAGAATAAATGCTGAAGCATGTTCCAAACTAAGTGAACTCTCTTCAGCAGTAGAAAAAGTGAAGGTGGTACTACCAACTGGCAACCATGGTTTTCCAAGTGCTGAAATTCAGGGTCCCTCATCATTACTAAATAGATGGAAACATGGTGGAGGTTGTGATTGTGGTGGCTGGGACATGGCCTGTCCCCTTATTCTTTTAGGCAATCCCAGTGTTCAATTTACTGAAGATCGACCTCTTATGGAAGAATGTCAAACACTGGAACTTTTCACTCAGGTAAACCTTGAATTTCACACAAATGGATGTATATAGGAAAATAGTCATACATTTAGTTTTCTTTTGATGTACTATTTATTTTGGTGATTTAATCTTCTGAGTTTAATCTTTGTATAATGAAGATATATGCATCTACAATAGGATGAAAAGCAAAAAAGATACTGACTCTACATTGCACATTGAACTAATTTCATGAGACATGAATCTCCATAACATGTCAAATAAATGTTGTGATTCCAATTGGAGCTTTCTGTTTCATTGAGTGCTGCAGTTATAACATTCTTCATTTATGAGATTTTGATTGTCTTTTTCTAGTACTTATCTCTCATTCTGGATGCACAGGGTGCCAAGGAGAGAACTCCAACCTTTGGCATGACAATGGTTGAAGAGGGGCAATATGCAGTTGATTTCCATGCACAATTATCCCCATTACAAGCATTCTCCATTTGTGTGGCCATTTTACATGGTGCGGGGCAGGAGAAAAAACAACAGATATCTCGACGCAATTCATTGAAAATGCTTCTTGAGGAGGAGGTAGAGTTATTTATCAACTCAATCACGAAAGAAAAGAATAGGAATGTGCCAAGGATCAAGAAGGGAATTACTCTACCCTATGTGCTAAACCCACCTTTTTCTCCTATTGCACGAGTATAAAGTGTAGTGCCCATACTTTGTAACACCAAATAGAACAGAATCTTTAATTGTAATGCAAATACTGTTTTCTTATTCCTAAAGAGGAGGGTAGCTTTCTAAAATATTTTGCCTTTTTGCAGTATCTGTGCAGCTATACTCACCACTTGGACCAGCTGTTGACATAGCTGAAGTATTTCTTTGGATGATGGCAGTTCTTACTATATTGTATGCATCATATTGATCTGCTTGGACTGCCAGAGAACCAGCTATGAACAGGATAAGCTACTAAAGGTTTGTTTTTCCTATTCTTTTGGTATTTCCACAAGTTGGACTCTCATTTATTTTCTTAATATGTTGTTGGTTCTACTATTCACTGTCAATTATTTTTTTATAAGATGCTTCAGATGAAATCACAAACACAAAATTTGCTGGTGTTAGTGGAGTTGTAAATATGAATGTGAAAGCTGCAGTCCTTTTTGTTGTATTTGCTTCGTGTTTCCTGTTTATGCTTTACAAACTGATGTCGTCATGGTTCATTGACGCTTTGGTTGTTCTCTTCTGTATTGATGGGATTGAGGTATTAACTTCCACTAAATTAGTCCAAAATTCCCTGTTTTTGCTCTGAGCAAGGAGAAACAATATCTACTTGCACATTATGTCTATGCTGAAAAAAAGAAGGCAACAGATTAACATCTATGACATTGCATGAATGCACATTATAAAAACTATTTGTTGTCATTATCAAATTCAAATTATGGGTCTTTTCTGTTATTGCCATGTTATCCTCTGGAAAGTCATCAATAAACAATTTTTTCTTGTATCTGCAGGGCTTGCAAACTTGCCTGGTTGCTCTTTTGTACAGGTGCGGTGTATAATTTTAATGAATGTCATCAAGAAATTTTGCTCTTAGTATCCATCTATTAGGATTTCCATTTATTAATTTTTTTAAAAAAATTCATGTTTGATTATTCGAGAAGCTCAAATTGGATCCCGGGAGTATTGACATATGTTTTATGACAAAATAATAAACTGTGTTAGAATTTGGATGGTTGTCTTTCTTACATGATCAGCATGATGCCTTAAGCATTAAATCAAATATATTGCCTTATTGTTTGAATGCATATTTCATTGCTAGTTTTCAAATCTTAAGACTAGGTTTTGGTTGATATTCTTCTACCAAAAATTACTTACTTATCAACGTTTCAATCTTATTTCAAGAATATTATTTAATACATGATTTCCCTTTTAATTTTTTCTACGTGCAGAACTTGCATACACAATGGAAGTAAATGAAAAATGTGATGTGTATAAGTCTGCGGTATTAGCATTGGAAATATTTTTTGGAGAGCATCCCAGAGATTTTATAACTTCATTGTCAACATCATCAAATGTCATGAATTCAGCACTTGATATTCCTTCATTGATGAATAAGATAGACCAACGTCTTCCTTATTCCACTGAATCTATTTCTAAGGAGATAACTTTGACAGTAAGGATAGCAAATGCTTGTTTGAATGAAAGCCCTCATTCTCACCCTATCATGGAGCAATTTACCAAGGAGCTTGCTTTGTCAAAGTAATCTTCGATGTATTAATTTCACGTCTTGATGTATAGATATTTGAAAATTTGAATTTATCAAATATGCAACGAGTTCTACTTTTTTCCCCCAACTTTCCTTTGTAATTTTTTCACCTATTTTATATTGTAAGTCATTTAATTTTGATGTGTTTTAACTTGATATTCATACTTTTTATATGTTTAAATATCAATTAGTTAATATTGTTTTGTCACCATATATAATTTGAAATTTAAAGTCACATACACACATTCCTGAATCATTCAAAGCTAAGTTCTAGATTACTCACAACCTAATATTCAAGTATTATTCCATGAAACATTCATATATGAGTAGAAAAACTACAAATATCTTGGAAATTTAGAGAACTACGTTCTATAGAAGCATTGTCTAGAATATTACCTTTACACCTTCAATAATATAAGCCAGTAGCATCTTCCTGGGTTATCAACGGTTGCTTTAGGTAAAGAACTCTAATAACCTAACTATATATGACTAACGCAAATAAGGAAATGTTACACTCAATTCACAACCTAATTCAAATTACCTTCTATGTCTGTAATTTTGATTCCGTGAAGGTATATATTTAATCATTTTTATTCATATCCCGATCGAAGTTTGGAAAACCTTAGGAGCGAAGGGCATAAGTTGGCTCACCAAGTTGTTTAATGAGATCATGAGATCAAACAAGATGCCGGAAGAATGGCGTAGGAGTACCTTAATCCCTATTTATAAGAACAAGGGGGATATTCAAGAGTGTGCAAACTATAGAGGGATTAAGCTTATGAGCCATACTATGAAACTTTGGGAGAGGGTGATTGAGCGAAGGTTAAGACAAGAGACACAAGTTACGGAGAACCAATTTGGTTTTATGCCAGGGAGATCGACTATGGAGGCAATATATTTACTACGACGATTGATGGAGCAATATCGGACACAACAAAAGGATTTACACATGGTGTTCGTAGACCTGGAGAAGGCCTATGATAGAGTACCTCGACAAGTATAGTGGGAGGAACTAGAGAAGAAAGGGGTGCGTATTGCTTATATCAGGGCGATTAAAGACATGTATGAAGGGGCCAAGACTAGCGTAAGAACACAGAGTGGGGTGTCTGAGGATTTTCCTATTACCATAGGACTTCATCAGGAGTCTACTTTAAGTCCTTACCTCTTTACACTGGTTATGGACGCGCTTACTGAGCATGTCCAAGAGCCAGTGCCCCGATGCATGCTTTTTGCCGATGATATTGTTCTTACGGGAGACTCTAGGGAAGAGATAAATGAGAAGATCGAAAGATGGAGACAAGCCCTGGAAGAACATGGCTTGCGGATAAGCCGAAGTAAGACGGAATATATGGAGTGTAAGTTTAGCATGCGGAACACAAGGGCAACTCAGGAGGTGAAGATTGGAGAGCAAGCAATAACAAAAGTCCCAAGGTTTAAGTATTTGGGATCTATTGTTCAGCAAGATGCAGAGTTGGAAGGCGATGTGCATCATAGGATCCAAGCGGGTTGGATGAAATGGAGGAGGGCGTCCGGGGTGCTATGTGATAAAAAGGTGCCTCTTAAGCTTAAAGGAAAGTTCTACCGTACTGCTGTTAGGCCGGCTATATTATATGGGACCGAGTGTTGGGCCGCAAAGGGGAAACACGAGAATAAACTTCATGTAGCCGAGATGAGGATGTTACGGTGGATGTGCGGACACACGATAAAAGATCGGATTAGAAATGAATGCATCCGAGAAAGTGTGGGGGTTGCACTTATTGTGGAGAAGTTGGTTGAGTCCCGTCTTAGATGGTTTGGGCATGTGTGGAGGAGACCGGCTGACGCACCGGTGAGGAGGGTCGATGAGATGGAGGCTACTGTTGGAGCTAGAAGGAGAGGAAGGCCTCGGAAAACTATAGGGGAAACAGTGCTAAAGGACATGGAGATCAATGCCTTATCAAGAGAGATGATTTATGATAGATCCCTATGGCGTCGTTTGATCCATATAGCCAACCCCACCTAGTGGGATAAAGGCTTGGTTGTTGTTGTTGTTGTATTAGAAAACAAATCAGTAGAATTAGTGGTTAAGTGTCGTTATACATAGTTAAGATTTAAGGATTCAAATCACATATTTTACAATTTTATAATTTTTTTCACATGATATATCATCACACCATATCACCACATTAACACGTCATCTACATCATGTGTCATGTCAATTAAAACCACCGAGAATGAAAGTGCATTTAAGCTTTTTGATTTTTTTAACAAGAGGCTTGTGATGGTAGTTTATTTGGTTTAACTAAATAATTGATAATTAGTTATAAATAATTTACTTTTTTTTTTAAAAAAAATGCTTATTCTTCCGTGATCATTATCTTGGTTCCAACTAAAACTTTATTTCCAAATGAATTTGTCAAGTTTTTTCTTTTTTAAAAAGACGTTCCAAATAAACGGTCCTGAACGAAACATCTTGATGCCTTTTCTGTTTCTTTTCTCAATCTACATCTTGATGATTGGGAACCAGTGGATTGTAAAATAGCATCATATATAAAGCAAATAGATAACTAGTAATTATTCAATACTATGCCATAAACTTATAGACAAAACTTATTTTACAATGTACATACACTCGTGCATGTTTAACCCAACAGTCTTTGATATGTGCATGAAGATATTAGACATCACAAGTAGAAACGAAATAAACCACACCAGCCACATTTTCCATAAGTTTGAATGTTTAATTGCATGTCCAAGTGACGTAAGTTTTGGACCGACAAAATATATAAATTAATAAGATAGGTAGAAAATTTATAGGCAGAAATAGGAGCATTTTTGTTGTGAGTGCCCAGTTTTAAGCTAAACCAGACACTTCATATCAGGCTTTGCTTCAATTTTGCATCATTTTGACTTGAAAGGAATGGCCCTGATCACTATCTGATGATACAAAGCTGCAAGGGCTGCCCCAATAAAAGGCCCTACCCAGAAGATCCACTGCACCAAAATACAATATGAATTGCATAAATTTACTACATCGTTTCACTTATTTTCTAGTTGTACAACAGATAAAAGAAGAGTTTTCTTTTTTAAAATTTTAATAAATTTTTATCAATAATAAAAAGAGTTTTAGAAAAGAGTGTTATAACATTTTTCTAGATAATATTAACTTCAACTTTTAATCCATAATGAAATTAAGAAACACTAAAGAAAAAAAAAAGATTTATTTAGTTAAATTTCACCATAAATACTTATAAAAAGTATAAAGAAAAATAAATTTTTTTTTTTCAAAATCTAAAACTAACTTATGCTATAAGTTAATTTACAGAAACTTTCTTTTTATTAGCTTCTTCAAAATATATTTGACTTATATATAAATTAACTTTAACTTATAAATTAAAGAAGCTTATTTTAATTACTTGTGAGAAAAATTATTGAAATAGAATCAAAATTCCGAACATAATTTAACTAAGGATGAATTCTCACATGGTTATCCCAAGCTTGGTCCTTGTTGTATACAAGGGCTGCACCTAAACTTCTAGCAGGGTTGATGCCAGTCCCAGTGATAGGAATTGTAGCCAAATGCACCAGAAAGACAGCAAAACCAATAGGCAATGGAGCCAAAATCTAACACGTTCATATGTGTATATGATTAAATTATCAAACAATTTTCAATTTCAACACATTACTTATTGAAAAGCAAAAGGTGCACATAGTTATGAAAGTGTTTGCTCACAGGAACATGCGAGTCTCTAGCATTTCTCTTGGCATCTGTGGCAGAGAAAACAGTGTAAACAAGAATAAATGTGCCAACAATCTCTGCTCCAAGGCCATCACCTTTGGAGTAACCTTTATTGAGAATGTTGGCAGCACCACCAAGCCTCTCATATTGGTTTGATTGGAATCCCTTGACCACAGCAGCACCACATATAGCTCCCAAGCACTGCATTATTATGTAAAAGACTGTCCTAGTGAGAGATAACTTGCGTGCCAAGAACAGCCCAAATGTCACAGCTGGGTTAATGTGACCCCCTGCATTCACAAAACCCATTCAAACAATTACACTTAGGATAGTTCTTATTTCATAAGCATGCCAATTTACTAAAATGTTCATATGCTAAAAAGAGAAGTACTCTTTATTTTTGGTAGAGAAACTCTTAAAAAAAACTTCTAAATTTGTATATAAACACATTTTTAATACTAAGCTTGATTCAACTTCTATATCTTTATTTAATAATTGAGCTATTATTACAAATATTCTAAATACCTATACTATTAATACAAAATTGTAGGATATATAGTTAGTTAGTCATTCTAATATTGGATTCAAATAGCTTATTCCCAAATTGGGTTTCCATTTATATCCCACCACTAAAATAATTTACATTTTATATAAAATATTTACCTATATTTTTTTTTTAATTTTCCTACATTTCCCTTAACAAATGGAAATTTAATTTTTTAAATCAATATGAAGTATCTACTAATTTTGTTGATGACTAATTTCTGTCAAAAATATGAGTGGTTACCATCAGTAAAATTTCTCCTCTCAACTACATTTTTTCATCACAAAATTCAAATCTAAAATCTTATATAAAAGAATTAAGTATAGTTTCACTCAAACTAATAATTTATTAGAAGAACACAGTTAATCTGGCTATGTTAAGGAACCCAACATTATTTTGTTTTTTTTGTATTGTGGTGTCTAGTTCTGTCAAAAGAATCTGGCTATCTTGAATTTTTCTTACCTGAGATACCAGCAGTGCAATAGACAAGTGCAAAGATCATGCCACCAAAAGACCAAGCAATGCCTTGGACCCCCACAGTGGAGCACTTGCTGGGAGATTTTGCCACACCCATAACTGTCAAAACAGTGACATAAAGAAACAAGAATGTTGCCACAAATTCTGCTATGCCTGCTCTGAAGAAAGACCATGATGTTAACTCCTTAGCCTCAAACAATGGAGCTGGTGGTGCCTCTCTGTAGTCTCTGCTATCTTGTGTCTGTGCAGCTGTTCCTATTGCTTGCCTCTCTCCATACCTGTTGGCTCCAACTCTCACATCCTCATCTTTTCCCTCCATCATCAATGCAACTTCAATTTAACTGCACTTTTGTTGAAGTGGGTTTGGTTTGGTAAGTAACCACTGAATTAATGTTTAATATATAGTCATGAGGGTTATTATGTATGTGAAAGCTAAAGGGAGGGCTTTTGTAGAGTGAACCTGGGACAAAGGTTGGTGACTTGTGAGTAAATTGAAAGTGTGTGAAATTGTTAATTGTTGTGACACGTTGTGTGATTGAAAGTTCACTTGTCTTGTTCGTTTCCTTTCTTGAGAGCATCACTTTGCTTCATGACCATTCCTTCTACTCTTCACTTCCAAAGCAAGTTCGCAAAACTTGTAAACAAATTATTATAGTAAGGTAAACGATAGAGCTAGGGAACCACTCTATGGCACCATAGTTCGTCCGCGTGTATGTTGTTATCTATAGCTTACAATCACTCACTCACAACATTGTTTACAATTCACGACGTAGTTTAATCAACTGAACTAAATTTCTTATATATACATTGGCTTGTTTTAAGAATATGCAACACTTTTAAAATATTTTCTATTAGCCAAAATATTAAAAATTACAATTTTTGAGTTTCACTCTTATTTAAAAATTTACTCATTATTTTATAATTTTTATATAAAAAAATATGTTAAACAAAATATGTTAAAATATGTTGAAAAGAAATTTAATTTATATTTAAGTTATTTTTGTACATTAATTACAAATTAATTTTATAAAATATATCTTTGGTGTCTTTGAAGATATAAAAGTTCAATTTTAATTCTAAATATATATATATACTCTAGTTATAGGTCAGGTCTGGCACTTTTGAAGCCTTTTCTATTTACACCTTTCTATATATTAAGTACACTCCTTTTGTTTTGTAATTTTTATTATCATATATACCCTTATAAATTCTTTTTTTTTTTACTCCATATTTAATATACTTTAAATTAAATTTAATATTTACACTCCCCATGAGTTTTTTTTTTTTTTTTTTTACTTTTAAAACCCAAAATTTGAACCATCATTTTCATCCCATATTCATTATCATTAAAATTCTAATTACTTTATACCGTTACAGGATTAAGATCAAAAAATGCATCGAGTCTAGGGATGGTAACGGGACGAGTTTGGTACGGGTTTCATGATACCCGTTCCCGTCCCTGCGAGTTCAACCCATCCATGTCCCCGTTCCCATACCCGTCGGATATAGATTTTCATACTCATCCCCGTCCCCGTCAAGTATTGGGTATACCCGTACCCGTCAATTTTTTTATTTTTTATTTTTTTTTAAAAAAATGATATTTTTAAGTTAATTTTTTTATTATATTATAATTATAATTAGGTTATTTCTTTATTTCATATTATAATAAATAATCACATATTAAAAAAATATTAAAATTTTTTAATATAATTAAATTAAAAATGAGTATTAATTTAAAAATGAGAACGGGGACGGGTACGGGTACGGGTACGGGTACGGGTACGGGGCGGGTAAGTACATACCCGTACCCGATTTAATATATCGAATTTTACCCGTACCCGTACCCGGTCAAACTGGGTATTCTCCGTCAAAGTCGGGACGGGTTCGAGTATTACCCGCGGGTACGGGTATATTTGTCATCCCTAATCGAGTCATCCAATTGTATGAAAGTTAAGAACTACAAGTATCTAGGTGTTGTTGGTATTGATAGTTAAGTAGCTACACAATTAGAACTACACATGATTTATCTTGTGTATGTGAACTTGTTAGGTACAATTGTATGACGTGTCATCCAATTTTCTTGCATATAATTCGTGTTCGTTGGAAAAGGTTAAACTTCAGTTACAAAAGGAAGAGAAAAAATAAATAAATAAACTTTGAGTTGTTGACACAATCTTTGGTAGATGTTTTGTTAAAGATATTTGAAGAACTTGATAATATTAGCAAATTACTCTGCACAATAAATTGTATGAACTAATATTTTCTAAAACAACTTCAATGCGTTCACCTCCTTAATTAATAAGTTATAACTAAAGTGTATTCTAAAGGGTTCAATGTCAAAAAAAAAAATCACTAAACATGATAAAAAAAACATTTTGAAAAGTTGATCACCAGAGAGAAACATATTTAAGAAAAAACAGAATTAAGAAAGAGAAACAATTTTGGAAGAAGAAAAGAATAAGGGATCACAAAGGGAAAATCGTTTCCAGACGAAACAACTATTACACCCCAAGACGGGGTTATCGTTTTTGCTCCCCTTCTACAAAAGATACTTGGGTTGTTGACAAGACAACTACTAATGGACTCCCTGACCTTACAAAACCTCTTCCATTCACAATTCAAACGAGCAAAAACCAGAAGCCCAACCCAACGTAACATATACAAACACTGTTTTCCCCATACTGGGCCTATGCTTCGCCTATGACGTTTAATTTTAAAGCTCTTCCTATTTTTCATGATGATTATGACAAGAAAAAGAATTATGAAAAGAACTATTTTATGTAGCACTCTTTGCTTTCATCTGCAAACTACAAAGGTAGATTGGATCACATGGTTGCATTGCAATTCTAGTTAGTTACAGTAAATTGTTAAAAGTTTAAGTTGTTGGCTGACGCAAAATGCAATTACAATATGTTAAGGACAGGTTACGTGATATAATTTACTATATAAACCCATGTTCATGATATGGGATTGCATATATTTTTTCTTCCCAATTTTGTAAGGCAAATAGATTGGTTTATTTTATTTTATTTTCATAGCTATAATCTGTTAAGATTTAGTAAGAAAAAAAAAATGGTGACTTGACACAACCATTCAAATGATCAATGATTTGGATTTAATCCATGCATGATAAGATTTGTATAAGAATTGTTATTGATTTGAAGTAAAGTAATTTATAAATGTAATTCATTTTAAATTAATAGTAAAACAAAAACAAAACAAAATATATATTCCCTTCCCTTTAAAGTAAAACACCTTGCACATGTATAGCTATTTTACATCTTTCAAATTTCAAATTATACTGTTTTCAATACCAAATCCTATAATATAATTTGAATCTATCATATGGGCGCTTCTTAATTAATAAAATAGCTCTTAGTGGGTTGCAAGGCCCTGGCATTAATATGTTGAGTCCAAGCCTCCGTGATCTTCACATTTGTGGAATGTTGGCAGAATATTCCCTAGTGAAAAGATTTAAATGTATATGACAAAACAATAAAGCATGTTTGGGAAAATATATATAAAAAAAAAAAAAAGGACAAAAGATCATGCCAACTTATTTCGTAATCAAAGGTATTAATTAATTTTGTTAGTTTTTTCCTCTCATATGATCTTTTCGTTGGGCAAATTAAATCCTTCGAATCCAATAAAGTGCAGTGTTGACTTGCATTCGAATCTCTTTAATTTATGTAACAAAATTTTGGTTGCGGCTACTTGTCTGCTTGTTGATGTCTGCCACGATATGTGCAATCCATTCGTGCAATGGAAAGAGGGAGGAGGCAAACGATGGTGGGAAGACATTGAGAGCGAAATTGGAAGAAGAAGGGAACAATCTCAATTGAGCATTCACAGAACTTCCAATCATCTTTTCAAAAACCCTAGGCTTTTCACAAAAGAGAAACATTGTATATGCATTTGGAATCTTAAAATCAGGGAATTGATTTGATTTGATTTGATTTTTGAGAAATATCAAATTCTTTATTTGAAAGTCGTTGCCAAAAATAATATTTGAGTGGACTTAGAAATAAGTGTTTTGTTTAGAAATGTCGTTAGCAATGAATTTGAATTTGTTTGTTAAATGAGTTATTTAGATAAAGTAAAAGAGTTCCTTTGTATAATCAAATTTCCATTAAATTTTGTTAATTTTTTCTTTTGTGTATGTGCCCTTAATAAATTAGAGACTAAAGTGTTATTTTTGTCCTTGTCATGTGCAAAAATATTTTAAATTAACAATAGTCATAATATTATGAATAAGATTAGTTTATATGATTAAACGAACTAAAATATTTGAAGTAGATAAAAAAGATGACTAAAGTATTCTTTTAAATTAAATTAATTATATATAGATGGATAAAAAAAATTAAATTAATCATACGAATTCTTCAAGTTAGACTTTTGTATCTCTTAATAAGTCTTTTGCATCAAGATTCAAAACAGATCTAGTCAAATTTAATATGATTTAAAAAATAATAAAAGTAATTAAATAAATTATATTTTAAAAATTAATTCATTTCTTATTTTTAACAAACTTTGATTTATAAATCAAATCAAATATTTTTTGAAAACAACAAAAAATATCATTTTTTGACATTCAAGGCACAAATGTTTTTCTTTTCTTTTCTTTCTCACTGTTTTCTACTCATGATCTGTGCTTTATTGCCAACTTGGATGAGCATGATCAGCTTTTAATTATCTTTGGAAAATGAAGGTAGCTTTGTCACTATTTTAATTATTTCCCTTTAGCCTTTTCTCTTATCTTGTTCCTAGTTTAGGGTTTGTGTATGAGACAAGAGAGTGCTTGATTACCCATCAATGGTTGACTGCAGGTGCGGAAAAAATTCACCAACCCTCCATTACATGATGCTTTCGAGTTGCCAAACACTTTGATTGCAAACATGACATTGGTGTGCAATATGGGAGTTAGGAATATGCAATGAGTTAATAATATATATTGCCACTAAGGTAGGTAGCAACTTTGGACACAACATTAGATAGTGCCCGAGTCACACAAGCATAAAGCAACAAGGAAAAGGTTGAGATGATCAAATGAGTTTAAGCCTGCTTGCAAACGAGGTAAAAATAAAAGAACATGAAATCATAGCCAAGCGCATGAGAAAAAGTAAAAGCTTAGATTCAAGTGTTAAAAGAGGAGATGGAAAGTGCATTCCATCGTTTTATAGTAGATCATTATTGCTTTCGATTGTATATACTAAAATACAAATAATTTTGTCCAACTTTAAGAAGTTTCACCGAATCGAAACTTTTTTGTTGAATTAAGGATCAGTTGTGCAAAAATGGGTTGTGCATCATTATGATGTAATCACTCATCATATACAAAGGAATATTGCTTGTTATATAGATGCTGAACGTATGTCATAATATAAATATTTCAACATACACTCAAGTTTCTGTTGAAATAACAATTTGATGACTTCATGGATAACAATCATAATTTTTTTAATTACGGTATTGATACAAAATATTTCTAAACAGTAATTAATTTTTGTTAAAAATCTTGAGTACATACAAAATTAATTAGTAATTTCATTCAACATAATCTATTAATTCTTATACTCAAAGTTAGGATTTGAATCTAAATAACATGATTAAGAAATATAAACCGTTTCAATTGAAAAAAATTAAGCCTCACGTCGATTAGTAGGCCATAATAATATATATAAATAGAAAATAATCTTAATTTTACAAGTTAATTTTGTAAGATTGAACTAAGTTCAAACTTATAT